ATCCTTGCCAACACCGTATCCTTTTCCGACTATCCGTTCTTCAGACGTAGTGGGTGTCACAAGATTAGATTGTCTCGATTGGCCAATCCGTATGCATGAAAAAAGAAAACGGCAGATTGAAAAGCAGGTTCCATTTCCTTAGCCAGGAACAACGAACACCTATCTATCACCGTCTGTAATTCGTCCAGCAAGCGAATTATATAAAACATGTATCAAAGGGGTCGTCATTTCTGCCAACAATTATTTTACAAGAATAGCTGCGCGTACACAAGTAATGGATTGTTTTGACGGTGTACGGGTTGGGCTACGAATTACGGATTACGGATTACGTACAGAATTCCATTATCCAGTGCGGAGAGGCACTTTACCTCCCGAGCACCGAGTACCTTTTTCTGCAGATAACGATCATACATGCGTTGGCTTGGTCATGGTGAGTGTTTAGTTGGTGATAGCCCACGCGCGCGGTACTTCTCTGTACCATGGTAACGGATCATATGGATTAAAACGTGGCTATGCAACAATTTCAGCAGACTTGGTATTATCACGTGATGCTCTCTATTTTGCTATTTTTATCTTTGATTATTCTCCCGCCGTTGTGCTCCAGATGTAGCTAGGTACCTAGTATATACAAGCATTTTCATCTCATATCAAACGGTAGTCCCCCCCAGAAGAACTTCATTCATTTCATCCAATGCATCCACGTGCTGTTAGTACAGAACACGACTCAGTATTAATTTTGTATAGAAAGAGTTTTCATTTTGCGAATGTTTGAGATGTATTTTTTGCGCTTGCTATCTTCCATTCATGTGCTTGTATTTGGTAATCTCAGTCTCAATTATGCTCTTTTATGAGCATCTAGGAGTGTCCTAGTATACATGCAACATATAAACATTGCATTTATCTTAAATCTGCTGTTCAACTTGAGTGGGTGAGGAAGCAGGAACTTTGGCATTTGCATAGCATTGCATTTCTCCTAATTATTCCCTTCATATACCCTAAACTTTGAAAATTTGAGGAGGAGTCTGGAACGCGGCGATGGATAACGATAAAGACAAACTGCTGATGTGCATGTGGCATTCGATTGAGTACTTGACCCGCATTATTTTGGAGAACTTGATGTTCTACTCCATAAGGTTCTGGCCAGATGAACTCCAGCTGGAGTTTGTAATTGAAGCTCCCCACCAGATATCTGCACAAGAAATGATCCACAGTATGCGGCCACAGCTCCTTTTACATTCTGGGAGCAACTCTCTCGGTACCAATTTCGCTTGTCCTTGAACCAGATCTGGGCTCTGAATCTACAATTACACACACCTATTCATTACTCTTCACTACTATTCTCCACTCCACTCACGAGTCTTCTTTTGGAAGCCTACCATCTTTTAATGGGTGTATACACCAGAATGATGAAGCATGAATGTCCGAGATGAAGTAAGATGTTGAAGCATCACTTTTTGAATTTCTTAGGAGCGATGATTCTTCACTCTCTATTGTTAACGAGATAGTGGAGTATCGATACCCAATTTTACGAAACTGTCCTAGAACATTCAAGAATATTGAAGATTTCGAAAGCAACTCCACATGGCAAGAAGTAGACTGCGATATGGGTGCAAAGAAAGTTCATCCTCCTAGGCTGGTGGGGATTAGGGAAGGACGGACGGGGTAGACAAAACTTTCTGCGCCCGCATAATTTGCTCTTCAAGTTCAGCCGCAACGGTTGGAAAATTCGGGTTGATCAATGATTCTTTCTATACGAAGCTTGATCTCGAATTTATTGTTTTGAAGATTTCTTGGTGTAGAGTTCTATCATCATAATTCATTCTAAGGTGTTCTTATCCGCTCTGTCGTATTGGTGACAAATGCCCACTAGCAAGAATTCCGTCTGTTTTCATATGTCCTTCGGTAAAATTGATGATGAAGTCTCTCTAGTGACATAATTTCTTGTAGACTAGAAATATTGCGAATTCCAGGACGTCCTATAAGGACGACAAGAGGATTGAGAGTAGAAATTTGCATTACGGCGGATAACCGCGCTTTGATTTGCATAACTCGAAACCACTTTCTTGTTCACATAAGAACGCTTGAAAACATGCCAAAATTACACCCACACCCAAAAATCATTTCTTCGCACTCCTAGCCACCCCAAATTTTCTCCCCCAAGCTCTAGCCTTCCGATCCATATCCGCCCTGACAAATACCATTACGATGCCCATCAAACTAGCTAAAATCCAACTCAGAATAACTCTTCCAAATCCACCCCTCACACTACCTCCAAGCACGCCCCCCTTAACCAACCACGTAAGCATATCTGTTGTGATGAGTTCCTCTCCTCCCTCTAACCCCTTGATACTCCTCTCCGCAATAACATGTGGTGTCCGACCCTCATCACCTTCCTCGAGCTGCAAAGTAAGACCATGCTTAGTGAGATTCTCCGTCTCGTACGATTCCGTCAAAATGGTAGCTGGAAAAATAGTATGAACACGAACCCGCGGCGCATCCGGGAAAGCCGCAGCATATAAATTCATCTCCTGCGAGAGCGAATCGGAAAGCGAGCGCAAAGCCGCTTTGGAAGGACTATACGGTGCATACCCCGCAAAACTGTACAGCGCCACAAACGACGCTGTGAAAATGAGATGGCGCGCAGGAGGTGGAGTATTGCTCTTGCGCTCCACCTTACTCGATGCAGGATCACGAGTTTGAACATCTTCCAACGGCTTGAGCCAACTTCTCAACGTCGCGTGCGCCATATACGCACTCGTCATATAATTACTCGCCATCTGTTTCTCAATCTGCTCCACCGGCGTATCCACAAACAGCGCTGGATACGCACTCCCTGCACAACACCACACTGTATCCGGAGGTCCCCCATTCCACGCCACCACCTCGTCTACAACACGTGCGCATTCGGTCGCGGAACATAAATCCGCGCTGATATGGTGGAAACGCTGGGTTTCGGGATTGGCGGCCCCGAGCTGAATGTAAGAGATTGCTTGTTCTAGTTTTTGAGAGTCTCGCGCGACGATGACGATGTTGGCGCCTTTTTGGGAGAGCTGTCGTCCGACTTCTTGACCCATGCCGCGGGAGCCGCCGGTGATTAGAATGGTCTTTGTTGGGTTAGTTTAGGGTTCGGGGAAGGATTGGATGGATGGAGAATTGCGCACCTTGCCATTGACTGGGAATGCGTTTTGGGAAGATATGTTGCCCATGTTTCTTATTGTGATCAAAAGGTGTGTTGAAATTGTTTATGAGCATTCAATATCGAATCAACCACGTAAAAAGCACTCGAGGAATAATAAATATCCTTAAACCCCTTGCATCAATCAATAAGACGTGATAAAGATAAATAAAAATCCTCCACAGTCCGCAATATCAAATAATTTCCACTCACTGACTCCCAGCTATATATCATTCACACCCTTCACATCGTATGTTTGAACCTATAGATCAACAGATAACATCTTACATATCTGACATTACGGTGCACAGCACGCCAGCAGCCAGCCTATTTCTATGGGTCAGATTCAGGGGTTCTGACATAAAAATTGAATTGACCACGTTCTTTCCCCACCTCTAGCCCAACCCCGCGTGTGTTGAGGGAAAGATGAAGGGGCGCAATTGATTTGAGGATTGAAGTTATTAGAGTCGATAGTGCGAGTATATGCGTATGTATATACATATGATAGCTAGAAAGATGACCATTTAAACCCCAGTACGTACCACAACTCGCGAATCTATCTAGTGAGGAACCTCATAGCCTAATACTTAATAACTCTTCACATATAATATACATACTCTCCATCGCAAATCCTTTCGTAAAACATAGCTCAACTCTCGTGATTATTTTCACCCCCTTCCCTTCCCTTTTCCCCGTGTAATTAGTAAGAGGAAAACTAAGGTGATATCAACATCAACATCCAATCAATCACAGAACGAGATTTAACAAATCCCAACTTCTATCTGATTATTTAATAAATATCGAGTAAATGACAAATCAATAAATTGATTAACACTTACCTCCCATCTCTCTCTATAATACACGCTTGATATTTTCATGTATACTTACTTCTCTTTATATCTATAGATATATCTATATCTATATTTACATTTAAATTTGTATTTATATATGATTAGAAACTAAAATACAGAGAGAGATATTACGTGTAATTTGGGATGCTTATGTTAATTGGTATCTAGTATACTGCTGGAGAAGACACACGTTTATTCGTTTCCATTTCCATTTTTTTTAGGACAATTATTGGCTCGTTTGGTAAAACCATTGATGTTGAAATCTGTTCAATCGTTCGTTTATGTTCGTTGATAATTAATAGGTACATACCCCTTCCGTTCTCGACGTCAAGTACTCACTCTCCCCTTCGCCCAGCCGTCTTCACAATCGACATATCTATCTCCTTTCAAAAAGCGCTTTCCCCAAATATAGGCACCCAGCCTAGGCGTTCCCTCGCCATATCACCTTCGATCTGCGCCCTATCAGACAGTAACTAAGTAAATCAGTAAGAAGGCCAATCAGTTGGTCACTCTGAATCCTTTCGTAGACAGAATACCAAATACTTTCTGATTCAAAAACCCATCAGCGCTCAAGTAAAGAACATCGTATATCTCAATTCGAATCCAAAAAGCCTCTGCTTTCCTTACATTCTCGTTGAACAACTCACCGGCTACTTCATCCATGTCAAATTGTACTTGTGATTTCTTGAGCGGGGAACATCTATATCCTATTCCTCTGATTCTTTTGGCAATGGAGTGGACAGGTCGTATGCCGTGGTCTACGAGATACTGTCCATGTCTATTGTGTGAAATCTCTTGGTTGGTGGAAAGACTAACTTCATTTTTCTCCCTGGATGAGAAGAGATGGTAAATAGAGTTGACAAGTATATAGAATAGATTTTCCGAATCATTGTTGTAGATGCAAGATCAGATGCCAGAGCCGGAACCGATAGTAATGGCTTGGTGGTTAGTGATCGCTTGTGAAATCACAATGATTAGGTATTTGAGTAGAGTGGGAGGGATAAGGACCGCGTGGGACCGACTGCTTTGCAGTTAACATTTTGCAAGAAGGAAGCAAAGTTCGTGATAGGAGAAGTAAGGATTGAAAGAGATGAAGTTATATAATCTTCAGTGCTGGTTGGTGATAATGGAATAGAATATGACGACAGATTTGATGACCTGTGTGAACATGGCTCGGAGATCAGGAATGATGTAGGATTTATAGGGAGACTCTTCAGGCACCAGACCCTGAAGCAGATATGCAACAAAACTTTTGAAGTTTCTGCCAGGGCGGTGGGGTTGATTGATCTGATAATGGGGGTGAGAATCTGATAACTTACGAATGGAGGGGATTGGAGCAATGTATAATTCTACTGTCTTTCTCTACGAAATCCAACTACAGATTATTCACCTCCCAGACAGGACTATATTGCCCTGGAAAATCTTTCAAAATCGAATAGATATTATCCGCAATATCTGAAGTGAACAAGGCATCAGTTCGTTCTCCTAGCGCAGGCCATTCGCCTAGCATTGATATTCCTGGAACCTGTAGTATTGTTCATGTCAATGATGTGCAACATCAACGAGTCAATGGAAACAGAAACATCATCATCCGTAATAAAATGGACATCATGTCCAGTTTGAATTTTGCGCGTATTAATTCCCCCAAAACATGCTTTAGCACAACCTTCGTGGCGAACGGATGCTGTCGCAATCACAACTATGTGATATAATGAGTAACCATGATTCCTCTCTTTCCCTTTGAGAGATACTTACTAAAGAATCCTGTGCCAATCACCAATGTCACTGAGTTTCTCAATTCTTTCAGATCTGCGAACTAACGCCGTAATCTCGTATTTATCGTTGCTCAATTGACGAGTTCCGAAGGAATTCGTCCAAAATAGAACCGCCCCGATAATCATATGAATCCCAACATCTACGAGCGCCTATGTTAGACGCTGGATGAAAAATAGGTGGGTGTAACCTGTAACGCGTGTGATCAAAACTCGAATTTTTCTTGGTCATAATTTGAATTGTGAAACTTTGTGAAGTGTTAGACAAATGGGAATATCTGAGCTGAGAAGAGATCAGGATGACCGTGTGTTGGTAGAAAAAGCAAGTGCGCATAGGAAGTACTAGGTAGGAGAATCGATATTGAGGGGTAACGCAATGATGATGACTGGTGCCGCTCTTGTACTTAATTGAGCAGATTTATGAATATCATATCGCATTGCATCGGTCTCACCACCTAGATATAGCCCAATCCAATCTTCTTCCTGCACACCATGCAAAAGTTATTTACGAGATCACCTAATCACATATCCTTAAAGCGATGAAGATGGGTTTGGTGAAAGTGTTCGGTTAAGGATAATACACGAGCAGTATAAGGAATCACCTAGGTCTTTATACGGAGTACAAAATCTCGATATTCGATTGACCCCTGATGAATTAACCGTATTCAGCTCCCATTAAGAAAACATAAGGTTAACCAAATCTTTTAGTTTGAAACTTAATCGTTGGAAGTCCACTATAATTCCATAATTCTATAATTTGTCAAAACGTTCCTGCAGAGCTTACCTTACCTGACCACTTTTACTACCTACCACGGTAAAGTTGTGGGGGGAAGAAGAAACAGAACGGAAACATCAAATTTTCCGATGAGAAGGTAATTACTAGGCAGGTAGGTGGAGTTGAAGGTATGACATATACGAAGGAAATATAAGGAGTTCGTAGGTGGTAAAACAAAGAGGGCATGTATCTGTACACACGCAAAATTCAAAAACAATGTCGTTACTGCATAAACTCACAATATAAATGTCAATAAAATGTGAAGATATACTCATTCAAGTGGATGAATAGTAATTAAGCAACATCTCGTATTTTTATACTTCCACCTGCCCCCGCAAAAAGCCTGCATTTAGCTTATTATTACAGTAGATCTCCACATTCAATTAACCTTGCCCTTCCCTTCCCTTCCCCTTCCATCTTTTCTACCAAAGCAGAGTACCCTTTTGCAACAAACAACCAACTCCTTCCACTGGGACATCCTTCAGACTGCTATCCCAATACCAACTGTCTCTTGCATTCATTCATCGACAATCTCTCATCAACATTATTTATATGTAAATCGTTTTACTACTTCAGTATATTGACAGTCCAAACCGAAACAGTCCCAAACCTTGGCATCTTCTTCCAATATTAGCCACTACCGAAATTACTTGGATGGAGAGAAGAAAATAAGTCGTAACACAAGTATCCCTGGACTATGATCATATCATCACGATCGATCAATTGTTACAGCGTCAAATCCATCACCTATTCTGTCATCCGTTCATCCATCCATTCAGCAACAAAACTGGAAGGCGACATTCCAACCTTATATTAAACTCCCCTCCAAAATATCTCCTATACGCATTCCACGGGAGATATCCGCACGCCATATATACCAGACAATTATAGAAACCTGCGAGCGACGAGAAATCAGTGGAAGAGTGGGAAGATAATAGCAGATTATTGTCGCAATCGCGAAGACGATCGTCTACCAGCATCCCACACAATGTATCGATCCATACTCTTATTTGCGACGGCAATTCTACCCGCTATTGTCGGAGCCCAACAATTAGCAGATGGTTCAATTGTTCCATTCTCATCCGACCTTCCATCGTGTGCTTCGCAATGTGGACCTCTTTCCGATGTTCAAGGGGCTTGCATTCCTCCAGTTACAGCCGATGTCTCTAGCTCTTGTTTTTGCGCAGATTCTAGATTAACACCTTTTCTTACTGGAACTGCTGGAGTATCTTCTGTATGTGGTGCTGCAAGTTGTACGTCGGATACGGATTTACAAAGTATCGAGACTTGGTACCAACAATATTGTAATACGCAATCGGCATCGACTACTACATCTAGTGGTGGAAGTGCTGCTACTTCTTCCTCGAGTTCATCGGGGTCAAGTTCGGGTACAACAAATCAATCATGGTATGCAATTTTTATATGTAAACGGTCATATAAATAGCTAATTCTCTTCAAGGTTCTCTAGTCATGCGAAATGGGTTGCAATGCTTATTGTACTTGTCGTTGGAATTACACTTGCTTGGCTTATCGCATTCTATTTCCGAAGACGATATCTTAGAAAGAGGGAAAAGGAAATTGAAATGAGACCACCAGTTGCTTTAGGACCACATCAACTTCAAAATACAACAGATGGATACAGATATGGAGAGGGCGCCATTAATGCTGCTGAAGGAGGGCATCATAAGGAAGCTACTAGGTCAACCGTGACATCTACACCAGCAGAGGCAACGAGAGGCAAACGGGAAAGTAAGAGTCTCCAGAAAAAGCAAAGAACTTAACTTATTGGATCTTTAACATATGATGGAATTCATGACTGGGGCGTTCAACTCGGCGATAGGGTACGGTGTTTGGGGAAAAGTTAAAAGGCACATGGTCTTTGTCGAATATATTTAATGGATGGAGCTTTGTTGATACCACAGGTGAATGGCGATAGCGTCAAATAATGGAGTGTCTCATTCAGTCTGAATGAGTACATTATTCAGGAGGTATCAAATAGTTGATACTGTTAATATTATGAAGTTTCTATGTTCATCTGTTGTCTAGTACAAGGGAATTGGTGGTCGTTTTTTACATTTGGTTTCGGGATGAAAAACTGGACAACAGTTCCCATCTGATTTGCTTGTACACAGTGTCCAATTATCTAGATTGACAGACTGTTAAAAGTAAGTTTCAGGAATCTGATAGCATGTGGTCGTGGGCTGTATTCCACATGATTAAAAAGCTAGTGAGTGAATCATTCTAATGTGGACTTTTCTTCTCTTCAAAGTATGGAAGCCAAAGATCCTTTTACAACTACCATCTCAAAAATAGCTATACGATGTCTATCCAGATCCAGGCAACAATTCCCAAAGAAGTCATTATCCTCAGCTCTTGCATGCTGTTCACTTGTTATATTCTCAACTGTTTAATTCATGAAACATTCTGGTTCTGCATTGGACTCGAGGCCGTTTTCTTCTGCTGTGGGTTGGGAGTCTATCTTTTGGCTGTCAATGACATCTATTGCTTCAGATTAAACTGGGTTGGCCAAAGAGGTAGAAGTATGGTTTAGGGGGGTTGAGATTGAGGCTTATTTGAAAGGATACACGATCTAGATATTCAAGATTCTTCAGGTTCCCCGATTCACTTTTACCTCTAGAGACATCACACTTACCCCCTGACTCGAAGTTGATCCGAGCATGGACAGCAAGATATTCACTTGGATCCACAATATCTTCTTCTCCTCTTTTTCTGCCTAGAATCTCGAGCTGGCGCCTCGACCGACCATTCTTGTTATCCTTTTGGGAAGGACCTCCGACCTCTTCTTCCCTCCATTCTGGTTCCTCTTTCTTTCACAATAAACAACCTTAGATATCTCTCTCTACTTCGTGGCAATACTTGTTTTCTCAAGTCATATCCCATACTCCGTTTCCCTATTACAACTCTCAACTTCAGATACCTCTACAATCTTGTGAATACTTATTTATTCAAGATATCACCTTGCTTTCTACAAATTACTTGCAATATCCGATCATATACTTGCTTCGAGTCTCGCAGATTTCTTCAAGTACACTGCTTCTTCACCTTCTTGATTTACTACCACTCATAACTTCACATAACTTACTTTCTGCGCCGCCAGTTTTGCCATTTTGCTTTTCAGATTGCGGCACTTCACAGCTTGTATTCATACAACAGAATTTCAACATCTTTATCCTAAATCAAAGCCTCCGAGTCGCTGCCCAGCAAAGACCACACTCAACTCGAAATAGCGTTACTCATGATCTGCTGAATCCATCCATACTACGGGATCATGGATATGCCTTTGTCTTCCCGGAATGGGGGCGAGTCTTCTAGGCTCGGTCATATTGGTCAACAATCTGCTTATGCCACTCCTCCATCATTTGGTCTCAGCTCACACTCACAACGGATCGCAAACCATGCTAAACATCAACAAGCGAATGCTGAATATGCAGAGCAGGCAGGATATGCAGAGCTCGTCACAAAGTTGCAAATTCGTATTGCCGTTCTCGAGAACGACCTGGCTCATGCTACAAAAGACAAGGATGAAGCTATCAAGAGCTCTGTCATCATCGCCAGAGCATTGGGCAGTGTTGCCAATAATTCGGAGTCAATGACGAGAAACTTAAGAAATCCTGATGCCGAAGAGTTGGAGGAGTTGCGAGTTGTAGTGCCAAGATTGAGAAGAGAGAATGCGATTCTTTGGGAACGCATTGAGTCTCGACAGACTGATCACATGCCCATCAATGGTAGTCTCACCAACGCTGGCTTTAAAGGCAAGAACGTCGACCTATTTTCCGTGGATGAAATCAACCACCATATCCAATTCAAGCCACGCACCACACATTCTATCATCGATGCGGCCATCAAGAAAATCAGCACTCGCGAAGAATCCAGAGACTCTCATCACCCAGTCGACTTCAGCGAAGCAACCCACGTTCCCAACACAGTCAATCTTGAGAGAGGTGAAGACGGTAGTTTATCGGTTCCACCCAACTTTCCCATTCTCCCCACCACCCAAAAGAGAAAATCCATTCACGACTACAACACCTCCACGCTCGATGACGTTCTTGCATCTGATGATGAAGATGCGGAACCAGTAATCAAAATCGAAGATCAACTTCTCTTTCAACAACAGGCACACGCAAATTTCATCAATTTCCCTGCTCCTGCTGTCCTCAAAGCCGGTTTTGAATTATCTCCAGCAAAAGCCGTGAGAGGTCATGATTATGCCCATCAAATTCAGGCTAATCGCAATGTCTACTATGATAGGTTCAATACACGCAATTCAAATGCATCAACACGTTCCCGATCCGCCGAACTCCCCGATTTGAGGCCAGGAACCACTATCTGGACAACACCTCAACAGAGAGATGGTGAGATCATGACACACATGGGCGATTGTGATCCGAAGAATCGTAATATTCCGGACTATTTCAGATACGGAATCCTTTATGTTCCTGCGTCAGGAGATGATGATATTTTAAGGGGTGTCCATATTGGAGGTATTCCGGAGGACATGGAATTGAGAGATGTTCTTGCGAGAGTCAGAGGTGGTAGGATCTATTCGGCGGTTCTGTTGGACACAATGAAGTTGACGGGTAGTAAGTCGGCGTTGATCACATTTATCAATCAGGAGGATGCCAAGGCTTATGTTGAGTATGCGAATGCTCATCCCATTACGCTCAGAGCAATGGACTTGGGTGGTGAGAATGTAGCCCAGGCGATTGTCACACATATTCACACTCCCACATACCCTTTCTCTCCAGCAAAATTTAGGGCGATCTTTGAGCTCAACCGTACTCGCATCCTTACGATCCCCAATTTTCCTCCAAATATTTCTCTTCGAACTCTGGTGTATGATTTGAGAAACAGAAATGAGTTTAGGGCTAACAGTTTGCTCGAATGGTATATCGATGATGAAGGAACTCTCAGAATGGAGTTTTCCAGTATGGACGGAGCTGGGAGTGCTTTTGGTCTTCTAACCAGGTCGGGTGGTTACAGAGATTTTGGATTGATCTTGCAATTCGAGAGGGATAATTGTGAAGGAGACTTGCAGGAATTATGGAAAGAACCTGAAAAGAGAAGACCCATGTTTCCTCCAACAGAACTGGGAGTCAGGACCGACAGGCGTGAAAGTCGAGTTGAGGGAATGGGCGATGGTTCGAAAGTGGATGCAGTTGTTGATTCGGTTTTAGTGGTGCAAAGAAAGAGATTGGCGGCGTTGCAGAGACAACACGATGTTATTCCCAGTTTGAGGGGTTCTGCTTTGAAGGCAGGTTCGTGGGCTGATGAGGTCGAGGAGGAATTGGGAGATAGTACATCGATCCAAGATTTTGGTCGTCAAGATGAAGACACTGGCACTATCAGACATCAACCCCATCGAGCACATTCCAGTACCGGATCTACATCAACCCTCATCGGAGCATCATCTGATGACCCACAAAAAGATGAAGATCCTTCTCTCGTTACACCGAAACGCGCACCTCGTATTATTAGTGGGAAACAATGGCTTCTCGAAGTGGCTGCCGCTGAAGCTTCTTCTCAGAATTCATCTACACCATCAGCTAAGCCAATTTCTGATACACCAGCTCTCGTGCCAGACACACCTACCTCCAATAATTCCACACCTCGACCCCGTCTCATCGTCTCAACCACATCTCTTCCTCAGACTACTACCACCAAATCTGCCTCTCCAAGCTCCGCAGAATACAGCATTCATTCTTTCGCTTCCTCCGCCGTTTCCGCTGCCGGCGATGACAATACCTTCCTCCCATTTTCCCATCCTAGAAAACAAACCCAAGCTCCCCTTGCACATAAGTTTAAACCATCAGTTCAATCCACCGGTCCCCGCATCTCCGCGTTCCAACCTGGGCAACCCAGAGCATCTCTCCCCAGTCTTCCAATCAACCCAATCACATCAACAACAACTCCACCAAGCGCAAATATTCAAGCCCTCCAAACCTTTAAATCCACAATCGAAAATGCAGATACGAAGGTGTATTTCGATCTTGATCCGGAAGCTGATAGCGAGAAAGCAATTTTGGAGAGCGAAGTTGAGAGTGATCATGAAGTACGTGGAACTTTGGATAGAGGAGAGGTTTTGAGTGAGGGTAAGGGAAAGGGAAAGGATAATGCAGTGAAGATTAATCCGGATGAAATTGATCTTGATGGAGAATCTGATGTGGCGGAAGATGAGAATGAGGGACTTTTTCAAAAGGAACTAGTTATTGATGGTAAAGCTCAGGATTAACGTCGAGATGAAGATGGGGATGCAAATGCAGATATCTCTACTCATTCAACCAACATCGATGGTGAGATCATAGGGTTTACGGCTACTTCTGCTTCTGGATCGAGAAACCATATTGGGATTGGGGTTATGGGTGGAAATTCTAATGCTGGTACTACTATTATTAAGGGTTGGCAGAGCGTGATAAAGGGTGTTTTTTTCTGCGATGAGACATTTTTTTCTCTCACAAATATTTGCTGGGATGGGCAGGTTCGGATAATTCTGCATTGAAGCGGGAAGATCTTTTGACTTCTGAGTTTTCCTTATTTCTTTTTATTTTCTTTTACTTTTATTTGCTTGGGAAAATTCGTATGTGTGGTGATCTAACTATCTATCTACCTATCTATCTTTCTCAAATAGACAAATAGATAGATTGGATATGAATCATTCATCCATTTCCATCCCGATCTCCAGTCTTCAAGCAGCAGGTAGAAAGCGCAGAATACAAAAATCATAAAATAAAGAAAATAAAAGTACATTTTCTCTGCTCTTTCGCGATAGAAATGAAAACATGACATGTGGGATTTGCATTCTTGCAAACATCGTTAGCGAGGTGAATTTCCAAAGCGAGCGAGATATACTGGGGTTGGATGGTGCGTTTAGTATCCAGCTACCTAGGAGCCCAGATAGTTTTCATAGATTAATTGAGAGGTAGTTGCGATGACATTATGATGATGGGAATGTGAGAATGTGAGAAGATGACATAACCATGCAGTGATATAACGATAGAAGAAATCTGATAATAGGCAAGTTTTGAGAGCGGTGGTATTTGTGTGGTTTGAGGGTATTCGAGGTGATGTTCTTTTTCGTCCCGTTTCTCGTGACGAATAAATGAATAAATGGATGGAAGAATACATCTTCCAAACACTATAACCACAGAATCTCAAAATAGACTGGTAAGCTGCAAGCGAAATACCCATCTAGATATAGATGTAGAATGAAGAATATAGCGAGAAAAATAAACGAGTTCATCAATAGATAGATAGTTTATTAGTAGTGCTAGGTATTTTCAACTTGAAACTTGATATCCCTCAAGATAAACTTTCAAGGGAGGAAAAGATGGGGATCTCTGTCATGTAAATGCATCAGATGATTTTTTCCCCTTCTTTTGGAGAGCACTAGCAATAGCAGTGTAGCTATCTATTTTGTTGAAGGGGGGTTTTGGGGAATGTGTAATATAAAATTTCTGTTCTTGCGAGGTTTGATGGGGTGTATGGGCGGTGGGACGTAGGAGGTAGGAGTCTATATCTAGTCATTTGAGAGTGGGTTATTGGTGGTGTTGGAGATGTAGTTCGTTGTGTGATGTGAGTGATGGGATTGAGAATCGGAATGGTGGGGAGCTCTTGTTCGGAATAGAGTGGTGCTTTGATGGGGGATAGAGAATTATGTTACATAGTTATTGGGTAAGGGGAAAGCAGCTTGGTATGTGGATTTGCGTGACAGTGATGGAGAAAGGTGGCGGATGGTTGGGATTGATGAGGGATGGGATATTGATAGAATTGGGATGGATGGATTATTGATAGAGTTGGGATGGATGGATTGCATGCGATTATATGGAAGAGTTTGTCTGTTGAGTATTCGACGCAGCATCTGAAGTGTAGAGAATCGGATTGAGCATGGGGTGTAATGGATATCGAGGTCTGCATAGCACGTGACTATTTATTGCATACATCGGCTAGCTGGGCAGTTTAGCTACAACTACAAGAGATGAGCGCGGTTCCTCTTGTCTTTTCTTACTTTGGTTCATTAGTCGCTCTTGGATTTATCTGGACTTGTGATCGTGACATTAGATTGAATAGACGGATGCTGAGATTCTAGTCTCGGACATGTGATGGGGACGTCTCACACTGGGGAATTCAACGGACATCGATCCCAAATTGGTGAGTGTCCGTATTTGTTGCACATCTCAAAAAACAAGATTATCGATATCAATCCGAGATCAGGGATATCCTTAAAAGCTTGATATAAATGCCCTTTTAACAATATCTTTCTAACGCTTTTGGAACTGGGCAATGGGGCATGCATATTTTGAGACATGCAACAACTCGCCGTTTTGATACGACCTGACCAATCTCATCATTTGGTTTCCCTTGGAAGACTTGGTATACGAGATAAACAGCCATGATTGTGGGTGTCCTTTCCCGTCATTTACGGAAAGAGATGTAAAGAGGATGGTAATACGACATAGTCTTAGGATGACACCCAATCAATCCGAAACACAGCCAAGTATCTAAATAATGCCCTCTTCTTACGACATGCAACAAGACAATCACTTACTGACATAAATCACCCGTCAAGTAACACATCACAAGCGCTCAATGGTCATGTTTCTCACGTGTGCTGACATTAATTGGTTGGGTTGTTGGTGAGGTGGCTCAAGAGTGGAGGTGCAACATTCACTCTTTATTTATACTGGATCTCATAGAGTCGCAGTCAATCTCAGCCACCATAGCACTAACAAACTTTTTGTTGAATACGAACATTCACTTCACTTTTCTCGTTGTTCAATTCATTAACATTTGGTTTGGATGGCAATGTCTTAATTGCTTTGTTATATTTGATCTGTTGGTGTCTCTTCCTGTCTTTCGCTTTTTTGTTCTTGATCTGTTTTTATATGACTTCGCCGAGCTTACATGATAGATAGTCTTTGCAGTGCAATGAGCTAGCTGGGCTGAACTTTTTCACCTAAATTTAGTGTCCAGTGCGAGAGTTCTTGGCTACAATAAGAAGCCTTCTAAGTTTACTCATCCTCAGCTCGAGAAGAAACGGAACTTTTGTTCATCTTATCTAAGTTCTATTTCGAAATCGTCAGTTCCTTTACTAGAAGTAATTTCGATTTCTATCTTTCGATCCTTCGTTCTTTCTTCCTTATTTTTCGGTTCTGTAATATTCTCATTGCAACCATTCTTGTCTCACGCTCTCTCGAATTCATTCACAATCCCAAATTCAGGATTTATACATGCCGAAAGTTACCAAAATGGCAGACTTTAACTTCCCCGGAGTCGATCTCAGTGATCCTTTTCTTCCATCTCCCGGTTCAGTATCTGTTTATAGCCCGTTCGAATACAGTACTCCTAAAGTTGCCGTCAAACCACCCCATGACTACGGGACATTTACCTATCCTCTCACGCCTATAGATGAAAGACCTGGTCCCATCTTATTACCTTTACGATCACGAAATTGCTCTTCAAATTCGCCTCCCTCTCTTTCTTTCTCTCGTTCTTCTAGTACCTCGTCCAAATTTTCTTTTTCCTCGTCTGCTTCAGATATTGATTGCAATCGGCTGTCGAATACCAAGTGGGCATCCCCTACTTCTTTTCCTCACTTTGCGTCATTGCCACTGGATATTCAGAGAACCATTTGGAGGCATTCGTTACCCAAACCACAAATTATCGAAATACATCAATACACAAAATCCACACCACGATCATCCTCTTCCTTCTCAACCACAACAAAACAAGATGAAGAAACTCTCCCATCCTTGACAACTCGCAATCCCCTTCCAATCGCCCTACACATAAACCGCCTCTCTCGTCGCTTCGCTCTCTCTATCTTGACTCCACTCTCCTTCGCTCACCCTTACTTTCTCCCTTCAAATCCATACGCTTACATAAACTATGTTCAAGATACCATATTTATCTCTTCTCATACTCTCTACCCCGATCTCGGAAATCATATCTTGTATTCCAGGAATTTACATATGATTCGATACTTGGCCCTAGAGTTTGAAGTATGGTGCGAGTTACTTGGCGATAATCATTTTGTTAATGCACTTTTGGAGATGGAGGGTTTGATCAGTATTGAGATTATTTTTGAGAGACAACCAGGATCGCTTTCTTTCTGTTCTGATCTTTCATCCAATAACGAATCGTCAATATTATCGAGACAGCTTGAAGAATCTATAATGAATTGGGGGATCACACATCAAGTTCAAGATCTTAGGTTTGTAGAACCAACAAGAAATGAGGAAAGAAACTTGAAAGTTATATTCGAAAGAGAATGCGAAAAGAAATGGTTGTGGGGAAGAGTGAGTGGATGGGAAGATGTAAGAGAGAAATTGAGTTTCAGGTGGAAAGAAGAGGAGAGCAAAAGTATGGTGCAGAGTCGCGTTTACGAAGAAACAAACGACAATGAAAACAAATCTTATAAACCTTTACCATCCAGGTTGAGAGCAAAGGATAATCACCCAACCGGATTTTTCGGAATCAGCTCTGAGGCAGCAGCATGCATGGGAGATGAACACGAGGAATTAGACCAGGGATTAGAAAGTCTAATGAATAGCGTGGATGATGTTATAATGGATTACGGATATGTAGCGCAAGGACGAGGAAGATGGGTTGATGGGAAGGACACATATGCGGATCAAGATGATGCATATAGCGAGAGTAACTATTCGCGATGCTCGGCGAGTTTCGAAGATGATTCTGATTTGGAGGGGTGGATTTAATGATTCTATTTTTTTTTCTATTTTTGGGGAGTTTGTGTATGAGGGGAGGGAGAAGGAGTTTTAAAGGCGGAGTTTTGGAAGGGTGAGGGGGAAGGTGGAGTTGGTGACTGTTTGCTCAATATAGGGTAAAGGCGTTGGTTTTTGGATATGATACCATGGTTTGAGCAAATTTTGATTGGTAGGCTTCAAGGGAATTAGATACATGGAACAATTCTCCATTAATCTATTGTTGAGCCTCGGGGGTTTTTCTACATTATCAATTGTACCACGATTGCATATTACCATTTTTCAATCATGATTTCAATCTACATCAGAGTTGAGATTTCCATGGCCTTGATTTTTGTCTTTTGTGAAAATACCTAGTTCATTGAAATCGCTGCAGAGTAGTTGTGTTGTGATTTCCCTGTATATCTGTCGAACTGGATTGATCAGTACTTCCTTGAATTGAATGTTTGACGGGGCGAAATATGCGTGACGATCTAATAGAAATATCTGTTATTTTTATAATTCGAGAGGTTGATACGTTTCTAATGAGGCATGTTTGGGAAGATGAATGGATGAATAACTGAGGGGAAATAATTCATAAGTAATGTATTAATTGAGATATAATCCGGCTCTATGATGTATGCTTTTGGAAAATTTTATAAGTAGTATCTACATTCGAGATGGTATTCGGATATCTCTCAATCCGGATAGATGGAGGGGAGATGAAGGGAAGATAGCCTAGTTAGGTATTCGTCCCGATGATTCGGTAACCTATCGGGGAATATGGTTGTGGAAGTGGAGAAAATTAGACGAATTTGCTCTTTGATTATTACGATCTTGGAATCAATGGAAAAAGATGATATTCTTAATATGGAAATGGATTTGATTGTTGAATTGACCGGACTATGGATTGGATGTTATTTACTTTCCATTGGTTTAGTAGAAGAACACATTATCTCAATCATTCACAAAATGCTGACCGCTTATGATTACCTCGGACGCGTCTTCCCTGTTCAATTTTCTTTCCAACAACCCCAACAGCATATGCATGATGACCAAGATAGACGGGTGAATATAAAGTGGCATGATATATGTTTCTTACAATCCCCATTTCTGTAACCTTTACCCTCCTCTCCTCTCTCTACATCTTCCACAAACTCATCAATACCAACCAAAATGCTCATCCCAACCACCTCCGGAACCGCTGAATACAACGTTCCCGGTCTCCCCTCCCCCTGCAAAACCTGGTACAAAATCCACGGCTCCCTCACATCCTCCACCCCACCCCTCATCATCCTGCACGGTGGCCCCGGCGCAACCCACGAATACCTCCTCCCTCTAATCGATCTCGCCCCCTCCACCCCCCTCATCTTCTATGACCAAATCGGAAACGGATTCTCCACGCACCTCCCCTCAAGAGCCGGCGATGAAGAATTCTGGAGCATAGATCTCTTCATCCACGAGCTCGATAATCTCATTCTCCATCTCAACCTACAAGATCGTCCGATCGATATTCTCGGACATTCCTGGGGTGGTATGCTCGCTGCGGAATGGACCATCAAATCCTCCCATGCTTCGCACCTTCGTCGATTGATCCTCTCGAACACTCTAGCGAGCATCGAGACCTACCAGCTTGGGATTTCGGTGCTCAAGAAAGCTCTCCCCGAAGATGTGCAAAAGGTTCTAGATCATGCGGATGAAACGCAGGAGTATGATACCCCGGAATATGAAGCTGCAGTTGATGTTTTTTCGCAGAGGCACTTGAGTCTGGCGAGACCTTGGCCTCCGAAGGAAATGAAAGCGGTGCAGAAGTGGATTGCGGAGGATCCGACGGTGTATGGGACCATGTATGATTTTCCCATCTTTCTCTTTATTTCTTGTCCTCTATTCTCCCCTTCTGCGAAAAGTTTGAAGCTAATTGGAAAAAGGCTGGGTCCAAGCGAACTTGTCGTTTTGGGTAATCTGCGTGATTGGACGTGTATTCCAGATATACATAAAATCAAAGTACCGACGCTCATGATTAATGGTGTAGAAGATGAAGCACAGGACGTGACGATGAGACCATTTTTTGAGCATATTGAGAAGGTCAAGTGGATTGTTATGGAGGGGGCGGCGCATTTGTCTCATGTTGATCAGAGGGAGAAGTACATGGGGCATGTGAGGGATTTCTTGAGTAATGTTTGATGGAGTGATGATGATTGAGAAATTGATGTGGGATGTTAGGTAGAATGGGGGGGGGGGGGGGGGAATTGGATTACGATTTCCTTCTGATCGATATACATTGTCCGTTCATATCAGTACTTTGACTATTTCTTGATGCATCCCCGTCAAATGTATGGCGAAGAAACTAATCAAACGCTTTTTTATTGCAAATGATCCATATCTCATCATTCAATCTCTACAGTCTCTTGCACGTAATTCTGTGTCATTCACAGATGGCGAAACCTCCCACTGTAATGGAGTAGGCTCAAGTCTCTAAGGGAATGTAATAACGGCTAGCAACACGGTCACTATAACTCGGGTGAGTCAGTTCCTAATTTTTACCTGTAAAAAGCAACGAATTCTACTGGCAAAAAGCTTCAATTTTCAGACTTCACTATAGGCTGATAAAACGATTGGTATATCAGATCACTTGTCTATCACTATAACTCCTTAGATTTCTCGTGAGAACTATAGATAAGAAGTTGTTATTTGATCTGTTGGCTGGTTGCATGTTTGAAACCTACCACAACCTCGAGGCATGATAAACGCAAAATGGATAGCCAAGATCAACAATCCCTCCCTAGAGAAGCAGCCAAACAAGAAATCGAAACTCTCATTCATGAAATCGATACCACCCCCCTCACAGCATGGCTCCTAGGATTGAGAGGTGTAGCAGCACAACTTGCGCTTTTTGGAACTACGTTGGCATGGAGTAATTAATCACTCTCCCCCCCCCCCCCAAATCCCTCGCTGATCGACTTACGAAAACACAAGTATAAAAGCTCGACCCTACTACCTTTTTCTCTGCACCTCAAACTCAAAGAAATCCTTCACAAACTGGCCGCCCTCCCCTAATAGCTCCATGAACTTATTTTCACATGACAAATCATGAGCGTGCATAGCCATATAATGACACACTAGACTTCTCAATGCTCCAATCTCATCACCACATCCCTCTTCTCCGCCTTCTTCTGCGTATACATATCTCACGAGATGGATCACATCATGGAAAGTTTCGCTGTTAAGCTCGAATGCACATAATGTTTTGTGGAGCTTGTACAGAGCCAGTGCTTTCAACGTGTCAATAAGTCGGAAATCCCCCAGAATGTATAGTGCGGCATGGCCGATGAATACATTGGAATAATTTTTCCCTGAGTCAACCCATCCTCTAGGTTCGCAGGTGTGGTCGTAATTATTGCGCGAGGCGAGTAGTGGAAAAGTGAGGCATTCGAAGTCGACTGAAAATTTGAAAAGAGTAAGTTCTGGATATCTAACTCGTTGAGGAGACAAGAATTCTTCCACCTTTGCATCCAGTTTCGATGATGCCAGCGCCACTGTCAATGCTGATTTTACCTGATCATTTAGCTTTTTCTTCTTCTTTTCCTTCTTAGAGGTCAACTCCAACTCTTCACAATTATCAGATCTGTTCCATTCCCTCATCTTAGGCGCAGGCAGCGTATAATCCCCTGTGTACGCAAACTGCACGAATCGCTCAAACGTCTCCTTACTCACATCATCCCATACCGTACATGCAGCTCGAGACTCCGTCATCCCTCCTCTCATCAGCGCCTCCAACGGGTTCGAAAGCTGAACAATAGCCTCCTCGTGCACGAAGAATTCTGTTGCATGGCCATCGACCTTTTCGCCCACAACGAATTTGAAGAGTCGGGAATTGAGAATGCTGGTAAGTGATTGTTAGTATAGATATCACTATGGAATCTTAGAAGATGGCGTGTACTCTTGGAATGAGGCTGGCATCTTGGTTGATCAAAGTAGTTTGTTTTCTGACTATCCTCAAACTCTGTTTCGGAAATGCTCACGGGAATTTTCTCCCTTACAATAGGTATGGAAGAAGTACAGTTTGAGATAGGGAAGATCGAGAATGTAAAAAGATAAAAGTAAATGGGATACCACAAGAATTGAGGGGTTCACACATTCGATTAACAAGTGGCTGAGGTCGACCAATGGGGTAAATACTGGTGCGCCAAATCATCGAATGGATTCCCTGTTCTAGAGTAGCATTCTTGCACCACATCATATCGCATAAACATAGAACTCCATAATTGGTCTGGCAGTTAGTCATCAGTATCATAATGTCTATTCGAAATACCTACATATTGCATTTTTTTATTGACCCTATCTACCTCTCTGCCCATTTCTATGTAATTCACCGCCAGCACCACTACCACCCTCCAGTCATCACTTTCTATTTCCAGATCATTAAAATTCATCATATTAACATCCTCTCTTCATTTCTTCACCCCTTCTTCGACTTCGCATATACACCTCCTCTCCCGCCTCAGATTCCCTCTATAAACAAAAGACAATTACCCAAACATACCACCTATATATTTATCCATCCTGACCAACTCAATAAACACACACATATGCGAAAAAGTAGACCAATGAAGAAAAATTTCCCTTTTTTCTTTCTTGAAATGAATCCAAACTCCTACACACCATGCCATTATGCAAATACCTCCTGAATGAAGAAAATGATCAACCGGATATCAACTCTGCAAACGTAATATTTTTGATCATGAAGAAAGAGTGTGCGCTCTCCCTTCCGCTCAGCCCACCCCATCATTATGCACATATAACGTTTAATGTCGTATGTCCCCTTGAAGCGCTCACACCCTCACCCTCTCGTATTTAATCGACCTCCGCCACCAACATTTAATTGAAAGATCCATAAGTCTTAAAATCATACCCATTCGTAATCCTATCCTTCCCTTTTTTAGCGAATTCCTTCCCCGCACTTCTCGAATTCTTCGCATTCCCATTCGTCTTGCCAAGCACCGCACCCCCTTTTCCGGTTTCCTCTTGTGCCCCACCATTAACCGAGATTTGTGATCCCTGCGGTAAAGTATTTTGACTAGCACTCATTCCATATTGGTTAACTTGCGCCATTAATGATTTTCTCGCTTGTTCCATTGCGTCATCCGAGCTATTATCTGAATCCGAATCTGAATCACTACCAGCATCTTTAATTCTCTTAGCTGCGGCGGCGGCAATGGCTGCTGAGGCAACCAAACCATTACTTTGAGTTAAGGAAGGGATTTTTGAGCTTGCTGGAACTGGAACATCATCATCGTCAGAACTATCATCACTGCTACTCTCATCATCATCTTCCGATTCCGAGAATTCTTTGTTCAACAATTGAGATGAAAGTTGTAATTTTGATTTGGCGAGTTGACCATTCGACAAGGGTCTAGGTTTGAACATAGTTCCTTTCTGGCTATTTAGAGATGATAGACTTGCGCCGAAACCAATCGTTGGTCTAATAATCGGTCGCTTGAGAGGTGAAGAAAATGATGGACCTTGAGCTTCGAAGATATCAGATGTTAGTTGTTGATCAACTTCGTCTTGGGTATTATCCTCATCGCTGCTAGAGTTCTTACGTTGATTTGTAGTCTTAATAGGAGAGACCATATTTCTCCGGGCATGGCTTGGCAATTCCGGGCTTAACCGTTGAGCTGGAGCATCTGGCATCTTCACATCCTCATCATCACTACCACCTTCGCCTTCATCTTCTGAACTGTTTTGGGTCTCTTTGATTTCTGTTTTAACCTTAGAGTCAATTTCCTTGTCGGAGGTATCGTCTCCCGAATTTTCTTCATCAGATGATTCGTCCTCTGATGAAGAAGTTAAATTCTGAGTGTGCTTGTTGAGGGATTTACGCTCATCACCGGATGGTGCATTGGAATGAAAGACGACTGGAGATCGACTATCCCGTGGTGATGACTGATTTTCACCCATTTCGACATCCTCATCAGATTGGCCGTTGGGATCGTTCGATTCTTCGATTTGTCGATTTGGAGGACTGATAGATCTTTTTGGCTCTTCTTTAACTGTGACCTCTTCTTCAGAATTGGAATGTTCAGAACTGGAACTATCTGAACTTGGAGGGAGTGGGATTTCAGCAGGCTTAGGTGGCGACTTTGGTATCTCTAGGATGATATTAGTTTGTACTCATTAATCAACGATTCATTTCTATCGGTGTATGCCAGAGGGATAAAAGTCACAAGGTTAATTTAATGACTTTTGGCGTGATATTTACATACCTTTGACCGGGACTGGACGGCCGGGTGTAGATTTCGTTGCCTTTTTTGGCTCTGGTGTAATAGTCTTTCTCCCCAAGAGTTTCTTCTCATCAGAAATAATCTTTGGTGCCGGTTGATGGATAGGCTTAGGTGTCGCAGATCGCGCCACCGAACTTGCCCGACCCGCGATCAATGGTGGTTGACTCATAGCAGATGGTTTCAGTGACAGCTGTCTGACTGGAGTTGCACTACGATCAGGTCCAGGGCGCTTGAATGTTTTGGGTAGGGGAATAGGCGTTTGATTTGGGGCTGAGATCTGACTAGAAGTAAGCGTGGGTGTTGTTTTCTCTTTTGGTGTATCAACGGAAGCTGTCTTCTGGAGTTGTGGCTTTATAGGAGTATTCGTCTTGTCAAGGTCAAAGGAGACTCGTCTAGGACTCTTAGATGGTAATGGCATCTGAGCTTCTAGACTGGTATCCTTAGGAGCTGGAGCTCCAGGTGAAGAGCTTAATAAACTTTCGGAAGAACGTGATGTTTTCAAAGATGACTTCTTTCCTCTTGGATAATGAGGCGTGGAAGACTGGCGAGGAAGTATCGCGCTGGGAGTACTGCGTTTATTGACCGGGGTACCCTTCCTACTTCCTTGTGGGGTTTCGGATGCTCTCTTAGAGCCTTCGGGAGCTTCTGGCTTCCTAGACTCCTCTTTAGCCTTTTTCGCTGCCTCCTCCTCGGCCTTCTGCTTCTCTATTCTGTCATCTTCTTCGATCTGTTTGCGCAATTTCTCTTTCTCATCCTTCAGTTTTTGAGCTAAAAGAGCAGCGTCTTCTTTTTGTTTTCTTGTAGCTTGCTTCTGCTTCTCTTCTGCCTTACGTTCTTCTGATTTCTCTTTACGAATTCGCTCGGCCTTTGCAGCCACGGCTTCCCTTTCGGATCCACGTCGACGTTCCTCGGCAGCTTTTGCAGCCGCAGTCCGTGCCTCCTTTGCTGCCTCCTCACTTTCTTTCTTTTTGCGCAATTCCTCCTCGCGTATTCTACTCTTTGGCGTCAATGGTAGCTCATGAGGAGTTGAAACAGATTCAAAAGTCTTGGAAGGATGGCGATTTTGGTTCGAGGGTGAGTTAGCTAACCTTTCAAGACCAGGTAATCCTGCCGATGAAGATTTTTTGAGTTTAAGTTTTGATTGTGGAACCTTTGTTTCCTCGGAATCCGAACCAAAGTCGTCATAAATATCTCCCTTGTTCCTAGGTGATCGATTCTTCGAGTTGCTTGATTTTGCGGCTTGCACGATTGCCTCCGAGATCTTTGGATTCTTGGTAGAACTTGGGTTGGAATGAGGAGGGAGTTGTGGTTCGTTTGCCATTGGACTTGTCGCAGTCGTTGAAACGGACCGACCTCTATCGGTAGCTCTCTGAATATGATAGCTTGCACTTTTTGCTCCTGTAATGTCCTTTGGTGTGCCCTGCTTCCGTGGCGGGGGTTCTTTGAACGGACTTGCAGGTTTTTTTGGGTCGCTGTTGGGTTGCGCATTGGTATTCTTGGTAGACAACTTTGTGGCATGATTAGTTATGGCATGACTTTGGCGGACAAAACGTCTCTTCACTGGCGATGGAGATGATGGGGGTGGGGTGTCGGAGATCATGGGAGAATCCTCTCTTACATTTGGCACAACATCATTGTCCTCATCCTCATGACCTAGTATAATACTCTGTTGTGAATCTGGAATTGTGGTTTCTGGGTTCTCTGGGATGCCTTCCAACTTTCCACCGGTGTATGACTCTACTTCTCGGGAAGGAATTGGTTTATCTGGATCTATGGCTGTTCTCTGACGTTTTTGTGGATTCCAAAATGATTCGGCAGATCCATTGATCGGTGACCTATCTCTTTTCTGACCAAGAACGCTCATTGGGTTGAATCGAAGGGCTGACGTTGGAGGAAGTGAGTCTCGAACATTTGGTTTATTCGGAGCTTTTATGATTCGAATAGTAGACATATTGGTAAACAGAGGTCCTATCAGATCGTTCTGAGTGACGTCAAATAATTCATCGTCCATACACTTCTTAATCGCCAGTGGTCTAGATGAAGAAGCAATCAGTAAGTATAAACTTCAACTTCTCAGCCCAGACATTCCCAACACCAACACCATGTTCGCAGAAGCGCAAACACTACTTACTGGCCATAATTGATTTCGTGAACTCTCGAAGCTTCTGTGCAAAACTCTCTGATGGTAATATTTGGTGATGTAATAACACGAAAGCAACGAATTGGACGATCGTTTTCCTCGGCAGCATCTGGTGTAAATACTTTCACTCTAAGTGAAAAGCCCGGAGAGGCGGGGGAGTCAATTGAGGAATTCATCCTGAACTTTTTATGATCACTTCCAGAAGTTAAGCTTATGCGAAACAGCAGAAGTGTGCTGATATGCAAACAAGAGAGACAAGGCCAAAAATCAACGGCATTGAGAAGATTGAAGAAGTGCAATTGGCTCGGTGCACTATGAAAGCTAATTGCTTTGCTTTTTCAATAGTGGAGCACTTTAAAGTCAAAAAAAAGAAATCGCGCCAACACGCGTTGAAGTGGGCGGTGGGCGATAAGGTTATCGTGAATAGTAAATCGTGTTTTGGTGGAGCTTTTCCGATAAGAGATGAGGGAAGAGGTTGAAGTTGAAGAACTGCTCAGGAAGAGGAAAAGAAGCTTGATATGGATTGTCTTTTGAAG